GGGGGTGAGGGTGGGGGTGGGGAATAACTTCTGTCCAGAAAGAGGTGCCCACAGCCCCCAAGACTGAGCAGCGGCCTGAAGCCCTTCACGGCTAATTCTGACCCTGTGCGGTCAGGCCTCGTGCTAGCCACTGGGAATCTTTCCTGCTGCCCCTGTGTGCCCCTCTTGCTGGGCCTCAGGTGCCAGGGCATGACCTTAGTCCCGCTCTTCAGGTGTGGGAAGTCCTCTGAGAGTGTCCGTGGCTGTGGTTCGTGTGGGGAAGCGGCCCCTGGCCTCGGTGTCCTGTCCTCTGGTCTCTGCTGGAGCCCTGAGCAGCCTTGCCAACGAGGCAGTGCCCTGGCATATGGGGGGCCTCCCTGCCAGACTGGGGCCTGACCAGCATCAGTCGTCGCTGTCGGCCTCATACAAAGCCGGCTGCTCCTCAGGCCTCGCACTGGCGGGAATAGCCGCAGCCTGGGCCGAGGGGTGAATCCCCAGGCCTGTGGTGAAAGAGCTCAGGTGTAGGGGACACAGGGCTCTGGCTGGGGTGACTTCGCCCCCAGAGGACACTGGCAGTGACTGAGATGGTTTGGTTGTCATGACTGGGCTGAGGGGCTGCTGCATCTGGTGCACACAGGCCAGGGATGCTGTTCAACATCCCACCGCAAAGGGTTGCTTGGCTCCAAACGTCAGCAGTGCCGAGGAATGAAATTAACTGGGGACGGCAGCGGGGGAAGGCCCAGGGAGGGCCTGAGGCACAGCACAGAGTGCAGGCAGGGGATGGTTCTGGAGCGGCGCTGCTCTGAGGTGCACAGGGAGGAGCTTGTGGGAAGAGGCAGCTCCAGCCCCAGGAAAATTGAAGTGACTCACGTTAGTGGCCTGATCTGGACAGACTGGAGGAGGGCGGTGCAGAGAGGTAGCTGCCGACCACAGGCCCCCGTCTGGGCCATTTGGACCCCTCCTGACTGTGGGATCCTGGGTGGGGTACTTACCCTCTGTGGCCTTTGCTTGCTCGTTTCTAAAAGGGGATTGTAGTAGTGCCTTGTCATGGTGCTCCTGGAAGGGCTCAGTGAGGTGAGGGGTGGGGGGTGCTAGCGTTGTCTGCCATCAGCATGACTTGGGTGTTGTTTTTGCCACTCTAGCAGGAGGGCACCTTGAAACAGAGGGCCCCAGGACCTCACTTTGAAAAAGGAAGGGAGAAAACAACACTGAGCTGGTGTCCTAAGCCTAGCCTAGGAACTGAAAGCACTGGTCATGGCCGGATATGCATGTTTATGGTCTGTCTTAGGTGGTCTCTGCTCACAGGACCCAAAGGTGATGGGGCCCATGTGAAAGCAGGAGGTGTTGGTTGGGAGGCCTCTCACATTGGCCAGACATTTGGGGGAGGTGGGGATAGAGGTAGGCAGTCCAAATTAATCCAACACAGCCTCTGAGCTTTGGGGCTGGAGAGTCAGGCCTGAAGAATGGGGTTGGGGAAGGAGTTTGTGTGGCCATTATGGGGAGTTGATACGAGACTGAGGGAAAGAAGGATGGGCAGACCAGGCGGCGTGGCTAGTCTGTGTCTGAGGGCAACAGGGGACAGAGGAACAAGGGGACTTGAGAGGTATATAGTCACAGAGGATCTGGGGAGATGAGGAACCCTGTTCTCCATGGGGCAAGCTGCAGCATGATTGTGGGAGACTTGGGTGGGTGGGTGGGGGGGCAGAAGGGTTCCTTTCCTTAGCTGGAGCCAACCAGACACTCTGCTGAATGTCTTCCTGGCCATCGCCGTGGACAACCTCGCCAACGCTCAGGAGCTGACCAAGGTGCGTGGGTAGGGGCACCACCTGCAGCCCAGGACGGGCAGGGAGGGGCAGGCGGGGCAGTGTGTGTGACTCTGGATGAGTCCAGAGAGCCACGACAAGGGCCAGTCCAGGGTTAAGGACCCATGTAACCACCCTCCACGGGCATCTCCTCAAGGTCCTAGACGGGCAGAAGTTAGGCTGCCACTCAGATGTGTGTGTGTGTGTGTGGGGGGGGTGGGTTGGTGCTGAGGAAGCGTGAGAGATGATGTGCCAGGAAGGCAGATGAGCACAAGGGCAGCTTCTGGAGAATCCGAGACCTGGAAAAAATGGCCAGAAAGGCAGGGGGAGTTATGAAGAATGGAAGATGCAGCCCAGAGAGTTCTAAGAAGTGAGGGGCAGGCTGCACCAGGCCCCCGCGCTCATCCCTGGGAGGCGAGGGGCCCCTGTGGCCAGTCTGGAGTGTGCATGGTTGAGCTCAGGCAGTTACCGGGCAGCTCTGCTCTGTCCTCGGATGCCAGGCCTGGCTGGAGCCTGGAGGAGCAGCTGCTGCCCCCTTGTCAGCCTGTTTGTGCCGCAGCGGGACAGCCTCTTCTCCTGGCTGTGCCTAGCGGGTGGCATCTAATACTCTCCTCTTGTCCCTGAGCCTGGTGGGGGGTGTGATTATACACGGCTTCCCCTGTGGTTGCCTTCCCAACGACACAGCCCCCTGCCTGGTCACCTTCACCCTCACAGCCGTGGACAGTGCAGCCCTGGCTCCCAGGAGGAGGGTCCTGCTGCCTCGCTGGGCCACCTGAGGGGAGTGCTCCCCTGCTGCAGAAACCCCACGTGCTTGCCATCTTGGCTGAGCATGTGACCTGCTTGTGCACCTGTCCATGTACACGTGTGTGTGCTGGAGCTCACACCTGTGCACATTCCTCTGTGTGTCTGACACAGTCCTGCCCTCACCATCTAGCACGTCCCGACTGTCAACATCCTCTCTGTTCAGGGGTGAGCTTGACTTGGGCTTTCCCTGAGGAGGGCAAGTTCAGGACGTTTCTGCAGTCAGCATGGGTGTGTGCAAATATGCCACAGTGCTTCCGACAGGTGTCAGGTGCCCTGCTACCCTCCTCTGTTCTCTGGGAGGAGTGCTCCAGGGGGAGGCAGGCCTATTCAGTGTGTCTGCCTTAGCTTTTGCTCAGACTTCCTCTTCTCCGGGCCCAGGCCTGGGCCGTGGTGGTGCCTGGGGGTATAGACGCCTACCCTGCTCTGGCTGCTGCCTCCTGAGGACCTGGAAGTCCCACTGGCCTGCTCATTCCTGTTGTCTGCCAGGGCCAACACTGGGCTTTGCCATCTAGGAGGGGCCGGAGAATGACTGTTCCTGGCCCCAGGCTGGGCTTCCGGGCGGTGGGGTCAGGGGGATCCCCTGCATCCACAGAACATATCTTGGTGTCAGGATTTCTGGGACCACATGAAATGGGGGTGCCCAGCAGCGTTGGTGGTCTGGGCACCAGCTGTGTTAGTGCAGGGGTGAGCTTGAGCTTGAAGTTCTCGCCGTCTCTTCGGGTCGTGCTGTGGGTGAGAACACACCAAGGAAGCGATGTCCTCGGGGCCCTGTCTCCATGCAGAGACACCCTGTGAGATGTTGGACCAACTGCCCCATGCAGAGACACCCTGTGAGATGTTGGACCAACTGCCCTTATTCAGGAATCGTCTTTCCCTGGGAGGTGGAGCAGGTGGAGGCCTGTGTTAGGCTGTGGGGGCATTTCCTGGACTGGCTCTCCTTCCTTTACATTCCCACAAATGTATTACAGTATTACATTCTTTTCAAAGTGGAAATAAACTCTATGAAGTCTGTTTGTAGAACACCTGTCCTCTCTGCCCAGAGGGCTGTAAACCAGGATGGAGCCCGCGGCTTGAAGAAGGACCTCGATAGGGGTGTTCTGTGGTAGATGGAGCTTCGCCTCCTCTCTGGGGCCTGAAGCTTGAAGACCTCTTCGCTGTGGTGGGAAATCTGCAGGCAGCTAACAGGGGTTTTAATTTTTGCCATTTTGGGGCCTCTAGGATAAGATTTAGGGATGTTTTGGGCCACAGTGGGAACACTAGCTTCCATGGAAGCCAGGTGGGCCTGGGGTTGGGTTTGGGGGAAATAACAGTGGTCTCAGCAGTGTAAGTGGAGGACGTGGAGGCCTCGGTTTCCCTCCACGGGCTCATGGGCTCAGCCCGGAGCTTTTCATCTAGATCCTAGAAGCAGAGCATGTTGGTTTTGCCCAGTGACGTGGGGTCGGGGCCAGAGGGTCTGCCCAGAAGTCCACTCCCCTTCCCACGGAGGGGGCAGAGGCAGGGCAGGATATCTACACCTGTGTCAGAGAGCCATGGGGGTCCTTCCCACAAACTTGGTGGGGGAGGGGATACCATCAGGCATTGTAAGTGGCTGCCATGTGTTGGGGGACACAAGGAGGGACTTCTCACAGCCACGGCTAGGGACAGGTAGACAGATGTGATCCGACGGGTCCTGGTAGGAAAGCTCAGAGGCTGTGAGGTAGCTATGCCTGACCCTCGCCCGGTGACAGTTCCTGTGGGTGATGCTGAGCCAGGACCTAGGCTCAGGGTGCAGAGTCCTGCCCCTTGACCTTGCCCACAGTTGTGGGGCAGAGGCTGGCTTTGTTCAGGCGAGACAGGTGCCCCTGAGGTGTGGGGGCAGCAGGTGGGAGGAAAGGAGGGCTGGGCTTGCGTTTTGGCAGAGCCAAGTCTAAGACACCGTGGGACACGTGTGCAGGCAGCAGCTGGGTCCTTGTGGCTTGAGCTCGTGTATGGCGTCGGGGTGCAGGCGCAGGGCTGGGATCACCAGCTGTGAGCACCCTGGGACTGGCCCACGGCAAGAGGGTGCTGAGGCAGGAATCCTGTGGAACACGGCCCGGAGCAGCAGGTACAGGCCGCCAGAGGGCTTGCGTGGGATTGGTGCTCGCTGCTGGAGCCTGGATGGATTGTGCTCACGCAGGGGCTGCTGCCTGGCCCACCGGTTCAGAGGGCAGCAAGGACTCCTAGACCATGGAAGGAAGAGCTCCAAGGCCAGCTGCACACCTCTGTCTGTTCAAACAGGATGAAGAGGAGATGGAAGAAGCAGCCAATCAGAAGCTTGCTCTGCAAAAGGCCAAAGAAGTGGCTGAAGTGAGCCCCATGTCTGCCGCAAACATCTCTATTGCTGCTGCGTAAGGCTCTTGGGGGTGGACTGCAGGGTGGTGGGGGCTGCTGCAGAGTCTCTTGGCTGGGCCCCCAGCAGGGCACTCCTTCCAGGGGCTTCCTTGGAGCACCTTGTGTTGGCTGGAGCTTTTTGGGACACAGCCTCCCCCAGGAGCTGTGATGAGAGGGAACGGCTCCCCTCCTGCAGGAATCTGTGAGCAGAGGGTTCATCAGGAAGAGCCTCCATGGCTTCTCCCAGTTTGAGTTGGAGGAAGGTGTGACGATGCATGGTCCTCCCATCATGGGTGGGATCGGCTCTGATTAGCCCCTTGAGAGTCTTGGGTGGCTCCAGAGCTCCTAGCTGGGGCAAAGACTGTGAGTCAGGGGTAAGGTATTGATATATCTATTTTATAATTTTCTTAAAGTTTGTTCATTTAGAGAGAGAGAGAGAGAGAGCAGGGAGGGAGAGAGAATCCCAACCAGGCTCCGTGAACTCATGAACCGTGAGATCACGACCTGAGCTGAAACTGAGTCAGATGTTTAACCAACTGAGCCACCCAGTCGCCCCTCCATACGTCTGTTTTCTGCACAGCTTTTTAGGAATGTATTTTGTGAACCGAAAGATTCTAGGTGGTATTTCAGCAGCCCAAGAGACTTAATGCAGTTTCCTAAATTGTCTTTGAGGTTTCTGTGTTGGGACAGAGGTCAAGGGGAAGCCTTGCTGATGAGAAAAGGTGAAGGCGGGGTTGAAGCTTCCTTGGGGAGGCTGGTCATCCCGAGGTTCAGCTGAGCTTGAAGGAACATTGCAGAACCACATCTGGAGGTCTTAGGGCCTTCAGAGTTGGGACAGCCTAGGGCCAAAGGCTGCAGCGTGCTGAGGGAGGTCACCGCCGGGGGAAGAGAGGGATGGGAAGGGGGAAGGAAGGTCTGGCCTGCTGTCAGCGTGGCCATGAGAGAGCACAGAGAAGCTCTGTCTTTGTGGGGAGCTCGCTCTCTGAGCCAGGCTGAATCTGTCTGGAGCTGCTGGCTTGTCTTCAGTGCCACCCTACCCCACCCTACCAAACACCTCCCATTTCCCATATGGACCCACCTGGTGGGCACCAGGAACAGCCACAGGTACATCTGTGGTGACACATGCATTTGGGCTACTGAGTGTATGTGCCGGCATGTGGATGTGTTTGCTGGGAGTGTGGGTGTGCAGGTGTGCGGGAACGCGTGTGTCTGCTTGTGCGTGAGTGTGTATCATAGCAGCCCCGTTCTTGTTCAGCAGTCCCAAGAGTGACGACCTGTTTTCTAGGAAGGCCTTTGCAGAGGACCTGCCCCTAAGCCAAGCAGGAAGCACTGGCCTCTGGGGGAGAAGAAGCCAGAGGAGATCACAGGCCCCTGGGGGGCCCAGGCAGGGGTGCAGGGGGCCTGCGGGGAGCCAGGCAAGACACAGCAGTTATTTCTCAGACAGCTGCTGGGGTGCTCAGGGTTTAGTTGCCTCTGTTTTGTTGTTTGGCTGGTTCAGTGACTTGGTCGGCTTGGTCCTGGGCTTGCTTTGAGGAGGTTGTGGTGACCTGGCAGACGGCCCCTTCTGAGCTTTGTAAACTACTGGTGGTCTGCCTTAGCAAGGGCGGCAGATGAGCCTTTGACTTCTTCATGGGCCTTGTGGGTTTCAGTTCAGCGTTTGCCCTCTCTGCTCGCTCTGGAGGTGAGTGCGCTGTCCCGTGGGCCTGATGCCTGTCAGAGCTGCCTCTTCCCTGGGGGCATGTGGCAGGGCACCCGTTCCCACCAGGGCCGAGATCTCAGAGAGGCAAGTGCCGGGGCCCTCAGCACCACCACACAGAGCATGTCAGGCCACCAAGAAAGGTCTGGATGCTCTTCCTCTGCCCCTGTCCTCATCTGGGGATACTGCTATGTAAGAACAAGGCTGCAGACTGGTAACCCCGGGCCAGGGTATAACACCGGCTGCTGGCCCCATCTCCACTGTGGTGCTTCTTTTCTCCTGGGCGGGGTTCCTGGGGTTGCACAGGTATTCTGCCTCACAGCAGGTCCTGAGCTCCGTGTCAGCTTGTCAGCCAGGCACGTGTGTCCCCCTGCTTGGGCTGTAGGTCCCGCGGGTTCTCCTGGGATGTGGCTTTGGCTTGCTGTCCTCTGCAGCATGTCCTGGTCTGCTGTTGCTGGACACGGCGGTCGGTCTGACGTGATCACTGAAGATCCCACACACTGGGCGGGGTCTGAACTCCCGGGTGTGTGAATGTCTGCTCTCCTCTTTGTGTGGAGACCACTGAGCCCTGGAAGCTGTGGCTCAGAGCCCCGGTGTCTGTCTGTCCTCTGTCCGCTGGCCCCCCTCCCAACTGTTTCTGTTCTCCTGGTGAGTTGTGTTGGGTAGACGGGCAATGCCTGCTTCTTCCCCACTGCTGGGGTGGGGTTAGAGTGAAGCGCCCGAGTGACACTCGCCGTGACACTCCCTGCAGCCATGCCGTGTGGTCTGTGCAGGGGGAGGAGGACTGGTCCAGATGTTCTCTGTGACGCCTTGATGCTGGGTGGCCCTTCATGTCCTTGGTGTTTGAGAGGCTCTCCTGGGCCTTGTGCAGCCTCACACAGAGCCTGAGGGGAGAGGGTTCCACGCCTCCTCAGAGGGGCGTCCCTGTCCCTTGGAGTTGGGCTACAGCCCCAGGTGACAGCCACTTCAGGCCCCTGGGAGGGAAGGGACGGTAAGGGTGACATGGCCCTCCTGGTTCTCTGTACTTTGTCACCCTTCTCCTCACCTGGACTTCTGAATGCTGGTATACACACTCACTCACACAGTTCACTTACCTCATCGGAGTCACAGCCCCCTGACGCTCACTGTCATGCCTGTTCGTGCTCATACGTGTTCATACTCACCTGGTTGGTCACTCACACGTGTTCACACTCACATACGCACACATGCTCACTCATAACCCCACACTCATTCACACACTCTCGTATACTCACACACCATCCACGCACTCACGTTCAGTCATACACTGATTTGCACACTCACACACACACATTTGCACCCAGGACCTGCAGGCGAGTGAGTTGCTCTGGGCTCCTCACAAATGTGTGTAGACTCGGCCTTGAGAAGGAGTTGCTGGGAAGCCACCTGGGGAACTGCCTTAAAGGGGAATGATTGCGGAGATCTTTGGTTTCTCTCTGTTGGTTTTGGAAAAGCTTCCAGAAAGTCCCTGGGAAATGGCTGGAGCTATACCCAAAGGAAGTGGGTTGGTTATGTAGCCTGTTAGCCCCTGGGAAGGGTCGTGGTGAGCTGGAGGCATGTGGTTTAGAGCCTGGGGAGCCGATGGGGTCAGGTGGGCTGGGACAGAGCCAGCTGGTCAGGCAGCAGGGCCCAGGTGAAGCAGCAAAGGGCAGGTGTCCCGTGCTGGCTGGCTTTGCTCCCATCTTGAAGGCAAGGCGAATGCCTAGGTCATCCCACCGCAGCCCCGTGGGCGTGGGACACCAAGAGGCAGGGGGGGGCCATTTGGAACTTTGGACAAGTGGTGCTGGCTCTCTCCAAGCCGGCTGCCCTTCTAGGGGCCTAGTGTGCTGGGCCGTAGCGGATGGGCAGCAGGACCCCGGCTTCTCTTCTTCCAGCCGTGGTGGGTGTGCTGTGTTCTTTTTTAGCGCCACTTTTCTGCCGGATGCTCTTTCTTTCTCAACTTCTCTTTTCCCCCGAGGTCTCGGCCGGTGCCCATTCTGATGGAAGCGTCCCTGGCCTCCTGCCCAGATTTACACTGCAGCCTGCGCCCTGACCTGACGTGGCTTAAACATGTTCTTGTCCTTTAGAGCCCTCTCTGGTTTTCTCACTTTTGTTTGTTTTGTCTTTTGCATGTGCAGTTTTGTAAAGCACACGCGAGGTGCTGCATCTCACAGCTCATCTGTCTCCAGCATAAACTCACCGTGAGTCGCTCTGCTACGATCCCCGTCTGTGGCTTCGTGACAGCTACATGCGAACACCTCCCTCCACCCCTAACTGCTTTTCCACCTCAAATCACTTGCTTCAGGGGCAGCTCCGGGAAAGCCTTCTGCAGCTGGCGGGGGACAGTGGGCATGCTTCCCGACGTCCCTGAGTCCTGTTCACGGGCATCAGCCTCTCTGAGCTCGGCCCCGCTCCTCTCCCTCCTGGTCGTCTTGTCTGCTGTCTGTCCATGTGCTGTCTCTCTGGTGTCTTCAGCACCTTCGCTTCTCCTGAGGTGACCACCGCTGGGCACCAATGGGTGCTGTCTCCTTACGGTTCCCATGATGGAGAGCGTTCATTAGGACTCACAGAGGACATTCACGGGGTCCTCCTTCCCCACTCCTTTTTCACTTGGGAGGGGGTGTATCTATGACCCTTAGGAAGTTGTGCCAGCAAGATCAGAGTTGCTGTCTCATGTTAGATCAGCCAGAGCCTGAGATAGAGCCGTAGAAACCTCAGTGTGGCCCTCCTGGAGGTGACGCCAGTCTGGCGGGGGAAGTTGTCCTGGGAGGCTTGCCCCCAGGGGCTTCCTCCCAAGGGTCAGACCAACCCCTACAGGTGAGGAGTCCCCGGAGTGCCTGGGTGTAGTCAGTAGGTAGCCGGGTGCCTGCTTTGTGTTCTGGTGCTGTGGGAGCCCTTGCCGTCACCGAGACACCTGCCCCCTACTCAGCCGGCACAGAGCCAGGTTCAGCTTGCCCGCAAGCACTTGGAGCTGCTGGCTGTTGGGGCCTGATGTCTCACAGGGTAAGAAAGCTGGATCCTGGATGAGTGATTCACAGGGTGGAGTAAAATGTGCACATAGGCGTTGATGGTGTCACAGTCGGGGCTGCTTCACGTCATCAGCGGCTGTGGGTAGCTGGCTCTCTCAGCCCAGAGACTTCAAAGCAGGGCCATACCAGTGAGGCTTCTTTTTGGGTCCTACAGGCGTCTGCAGTGCCTGGGTCAGGTGTGGCTGAATAGGGCTATACCAGCAAGCTGGGGTCGAGACATCACGGGAGCAGCTCCCCCATGTGACTCCTCAAAGAGCCTTTTCAGACAAGAGCTTTGCCTGGATCATTGTCACCTGTGTGTCAGACGGTTGGCCTGGCTCTCGCTCTCATGTTCTTGCTACTTGTGAAGTCGGTGGAGAGGTGCAGAGACCGGTGGTGGCCAGACTGAGCAAGGACAGGGCGGCAGCCAGGTGGGTGCAGGCTGACTCAGACAGCAACAGGGAGGAGAGGCCTGGCACGCAGACTCAGAGACACGTCCAGAGAGGAAGTCAGCAGCATCACTGGTAGGTGGTTGCAGACAGTTTCAGGCGGCACTAGGGCCCAGAGAGGCAGAGAGACCCAGCAGGAGCAGGGCCCCAGAGGGGCCACGTGGCACAAGTGTTCAGTGTCTTGCTCCCCTGGGAAGTTATGAGAGGAGAGGAGTCTGCCAGCCCCGTGGCACCCTCCAGTCTCGCGGGTTAGCTGGTTGCTGGCAGAGGAGGAGCTGCAGCCCAGGGTGGGCCTGAGGGCACAGCCATGTCATCACAAGCTCATCCTCACCGGAGCTCCCGGCCACTCCGAGTCGGAACATTGTTCCCACTGTCTCTACTGCCTGTCTGTTCTGACAGAACTCACCTCCCCGCCCCTCACCGTCTTGGGCTGTTTCTAACACTAACCCTGCTGCTGCTGTGCTGTCAGCCCTCGTGGGCTCTTATGTCTGAGGAGTGACCCTCAAGGCTGTCATCCCTTTCACGTGGTTCAGCATTGTTCAGAGTTGGGTCCTTTGTTTCGGTGCCAGCCTGGGATGGGGTAGGTCCCCGGTGGCTTTAGTCTGAAGCCAGAGAAACAGAGGGTGGTCGTGTTGCAAGGCGTCCCCAGGAGTAGGGCTGCATGGCTTTGGTGTGTCAGAGGAGGCAGCTCAGGGCCTGGGGTGGCAGTTGAAGCTGTGGGGTAGCAGATGGCCAGAGAGGCTAACAGTTGTCCACCCTGTGTTGCCCTGGCCTGTCTGCCACATGGGCTCCCGGGTGAGGCACAGACGGTGTACTCTTCTGCCTTCACACTTTTGAGGCACTGCCCTGGAAATGGCTCCCCACACTGGAGCCCGGACCTCACTTCAAAGGGACAGGGTTAAGCATCATATGCTTTGTGCAGGCCAGCTGCAGGGACTGGGCTTCCCCCACCCGGCCACCTCTGTCTTTGCAGGTCAGCATGGTGCTCAGTGGCCCAGGGCCCTGGAGCTGGTGGCAGGGTTGGCCTGGGGCCCCTCAGGCTGTCACTCTAGGCTGTGGTGTCAGTACAGTTGGGGTCTGGCCAAGGCCTCATATCTTTAGATACCTTTTCTTCTGTGTTGCCTTTGCATGCATCTGATCCTGGCTCCGTCAATGGCTCACCGTGGGGCCCTCTGTGAGTCGCAGCCTCTAGGCTCAGTGTCTTCATCTGTGAAATGGGGACAAGAGCAGCACCTAATTCCTAAAGGTAGTTTTGGGGGTCGGATGAGGTGGGCATTGCAGCCGGTAGCACAGTGTGGCCCTTGAACAATACAGGTGCCACAGCCGGCATTGTTCTTAGCTGCCACCACCACCGCCGTGGTGGGTCCAGAAACCTCCAGAGGCTGAAGGAGGAGAGTCTGGCCTCAGCAGAGGTTTCTGCTTGGCTGAGGTGGGACTGGAGTCGCCTGCATTGGAACCCTTATTCAGCAAAGACCCCAGAATGCAAAGGGCTTCCCATGTATCCTGGGCTGTGGAGCCCCACATGTAACCATGTGGGTGAGGCTGGAGGGTGGTCGAGGCCTTTGGTAGCCTGTGCAGTGGGGGCTGAGTCTGGAGCACAGGCCATTCCTGGTGCTGGAGGGCTCCTCCCTGTGCTGGTGGATGAAGGGGGCTCCCTGTGGAGCCAGGAGAAAGGAGGGC